TTTGATTTCTTTTTTCTTAACTGTATATGAAAGAGTGAGAAGGTAACCATGAATCAATGCTGTGTTTAATTAAAAAGGATGTCTGCTCATTTTTAGGAACATATGCAGAACTGAAGTGATCAGGTCAGGGTGAAGGAAGCGAAAGCACAAATTCAAATACGACCACAGGTAACAAGTAGTGAAAAAGCCTAGAGTGCTAGTTATGAATGTAGCTGTGGTTCTGAATTCCTCCTGAACATCTGAGTGTTACATTTTTAATGTGTGGATAAAGCAACATCTTAAACATTGTCTTAAACATCTTATTGGTGATCCATTCATGTTTTTGTCCCCATAAACTGATTAAACATTCATGTACACCAGCTGTAGCTTAGCACTAATGTCACACTAGGCCCTCTGGAAGTTCTAGATACGTCACTGACTCTGTATGTAAGATTTCAGGTAGCTGTTAGGAATGTAAAACAGCAGCAGCAGCTCTATGTCAGAACTCCTTACTGAAAGAGTCACTTTAAAACTGATACATACAAGCTCAGATACATGTTAACCCCTTAAAATCTCCTCTGACATACTAAGCCTTTTTATTCAGTAACTACAGAGACTTCAGTGCAAACTGGCTGAGCTATTCTTAGGTTATATAAGGGTGTAATAAAACTCAAGGCCTGCCGGTGGGCCATGGCCATTTAAGGGTTAATATGTGTTTAATCCAGAGCATCCATACAGTGTTCATGTGCACCAGTGTTATCTTAGTGCTAACAAACTATTGGAAATCCAGTAGAGGGACTTGCAGAAATTAGCATTGTCATAGACGAGTGTTTGTTTATCATTTTTTGGTCCTGTTTTGACATTTATGGCCCCAATGATGGCCAAACTCTAATAGTCATGGTTTAAACAACTCGAAAACAACTTCTGAAAATAAAGGAAGAGTCTGGCTGCATTCAGATGATGGAGTGTATTCTGCAAAAAATCTGCATCTGAACAGTGAGGAAGCTACCTGTGACAACTTTTGCAAAGTAGAGAATGAGAGGAGCGGATATTTATGTGTGGTGATCACACATCACTCTTAATAGATAGAGTAAAAAAACTACCACTTATTGCATTTCCACCAGGTTTAATCCTTCCTAATCAGCCCATGTAAACATTAGCCAACGTTAGCAAGTGCTTTGAACACCACAACCAGCGAAGAGACACTCATCATCTATTTCTCAAGGTTTTTAACCAAACCCTGGTGATAACAATGAGTGCATTTTTATGTTCTTATGTAATCAGATAATGGGGAACTCCAGGTCTCCAAGTCAACTAACTCATAGAAGAACATGTGATGTATACGTAGCATAAACCTCAAACTTCATGAACGGCTTTTTAAAAAAAGAAACATTGTGCTGCTTTACCTGAAAATATAAACATACATCATCTAGAAGGCAAAGAATATTTAAATCCTTCATTTCGTTGAGCATGTAGTTGGTTTCAGCGTCACTCCAAAAGTGTTTTGCTGCATCTCGCCAACGCCAATTGCTTATTTCCGGTACCTCAGTCTGTTTTCACACATGCGCAGACTGAGAAATATGAAAAAAATCAGAGTAAGAGTTTACATGCTCTGAGAAATCTGATTACTGAGCTAAAATCCAGCTCTCTTTACCAAATTTCTTAATCGGATTTCTAGACCTTACTCTCATCTACGAAATCAGAGTGTACTGTTTACACGACCATTTGAACTGCAGAAATCCCATTATGAGTGCATGTAAACACCTTAATGTAATGGATAGTACATACGCCAGTGAATTAATATTTATCTTCGACCTGAATATTGTAGTTACCCACACTGGCCTCTTGATGCTCATGAGGTGTGGCCATGCGAGGAGGCTCATGGGAGGCGCATGCATTCCAAAAAAATTAATTAGATCTTGTTTATGTTGTTGTTTATTTGTCTGAAGGTGTATGTATGTGTTTATTGTGCTGTTCTGTGTTGAGTGGGTTTAGTAAGTGTGTGTTGGTGGTCACCCTGAGGGTGAAGTGCTTCTGTATGTGCCTTTCTGCCCTGGTGTTTAATAAAGAGAACTTCTCATGGTGGAATCATGGCCTTTCCTGCGTCTTACTCTACACTGATGTTGCGATTTTTTTTAAAATTGCAAATGCTTTAAAACTGTACAGCCTTGTGTTTGCTGTCTAGTTCAGTTTGACCAAGCCTCTTTCTTACATGAAAGTGACACATGATGCATGAAGCTTTTCCATTGAAGTTGAATATTTTTCAACTTGAACTGTGAAGAAAGAACAGAGCCCACAGAATGTGTGTCCTGAAGAAGGATATAATAGTGTTGAATACTTCTAGGGCTTTTACTTCAGTTTGATTACCCAACAGCCAGCATGCATTACTAACATTAACCTGAGAACAATTGTATACTTTCAATCTATACCACGCTTGTTTTTGTAGGTATATTATTATGATTTCAATTTGATGACAGGGTATTGTTGTATGTACAGTCTTGTTTTGACAAGCGATAATTTACAGTTTTTGTCATTCTTGACATCAAATCTATTGTCCAGCATGTGAAAGGAACGTGTAACTAAGATAATCGTGTAGGTAAAATACATTACTAGATTTAAATAGCATACGGGCGTTTTCACACTGGAGGTGTTTTCCGGACCCAGGGCCACTTCCTCTGCGAGTTTGGTACGATTGGTTGAGTGTGAAAGCTGTTTTAGAGCCCAGGAGCGGAACAAAGAACCAATCTGTGGTCCTCCTGAAATTGATGGTCTGGGGTATGGTCAGCTGAACCCTGGCACCATTATGATTTGATATCTTGTTTATTTGAAATACATTGTGTGTGAGCGCTGTTTTACCACAATACATACAATGGTTAATGCAAAATACAGTGCAAAATACATCCGTAACCTTTATTAAAACTACATAAAACTGAAAAAAATGTAATAATAATGCAAATAAATGCATTTTAAAATTGTATTTAACAAATATATTGTTGGCCATTTTCATACATTGCAAAAATATATTTGGTAAATATATTTGGAATATATATTTTTCTATATGTGTTGTGCAATTGATCCACGGTTCAGGTGGGATTCTTGTGTGTGAAAGCAAACCAGCGATAATGAGCCCCTCCCCCATCAAGCCCAGAATCGATCCTGGGTGTGGACTACAGTGCTCAGAAGAAGTGTAAAAAAACACGCTGAATGGTGACTACAGTGACTGTACACTTCTAAAGGTTAACCGCTGATATAAGCAAAGCTAACAGCTAAGCAGCGCTTTCGATAAGTTGTGACATCATTCGACTGTGCGCTGGTTATACAGAACTCAATATACATTTCTATTCATAGCTAGCATTCTCTTTCGTTCCTACTGACCACTAGCTGTGGTGCAAAGCTTTGTGGGTACGAAAACCAACAATGTGACACGGAAATGCTTCTGAAAATAAAGCTGAGGCATGAGAAGAGACCACACTGACTTTGCAGAACCCACAGAGAGTACAAAGCAAACATGTGTCCACCCACAGAACACCTTTCAGCACTAACCAGGGTGTAGATACACTTCAGAGAGACTGACCCCAGTGTCAGCTCCTAGTATTTATAGACCTCACCAGCCAGTGTGAGAAAGCCCTTTAGCCCTGTCACTGAACCACACAAATGAGTGATGTGTCTGATAAAAGTCAGCAATGAAGTCTATATTATGCCTCATAACCCAGACTGAGTATAGCAGTTAGCATAGAGCAGCCCATTTGTCTGGAAACATTCTTATTTAAGCAGAAATGAGGTCAGATCAGCTTAAATTATGAGGTAAATTCACAGATTTTTTGAGTTGACTTATTTTAGTCAAATGTTCTCCCAACTTACATTTTTAAGTTCTGAATTGTTACACCAGCAAAGGACTATAGACAACTGGGAGTAGAGTGCACTAACTAGCAGTAAATGGTCCAACATTTCAGTATTCAGAACGCAACATGCTGGTTTTGCTGGTGACCAGGCATGTTGCTCCATGCTGTTTTTCTAGCTAGTAGTAAACCAGTTAGCAACAGTGCTACTCAGATCACTAGGAGTGAACCAGCTAGCAACAGTACTACTTCAGCAACTGGCAGTCGAGTTCACAGTGAATATGCAAACTAGTGTACAAAGACTTGAAGTAAACCAGTGTCTGTGGAGGACAAGATACAGTCTTTAAGCTCCAGCAGTCACACTGAGCTGCACACAAGCAATCCACACTGTCACTCCAAGAAGAGCAGAGAGCTAGGCAAGCTGAGTTTGAATATAGGAGAGTACAATCTTTGTTCCCAGGGTTCTATGCTCCAAGGGTCATATGTTCCCCAGAGTAATGTGTTCCCAGGGTCCTGTGCTCCAAAATTACAAAGGCAACACAAGGTACTAAACACACTGGTATTTCTTAGAAATTTGAATGACATAATATAGGAACTGTTAATATAGGACCTGCTAATGTAGGACCATGGCAATATAGGGCTTTTGGAATATAGGCATTTGGAAACATAGGGACCTGGTAATATAGGGCCCTGGAAACATACAACCTTGGGAAGACAGGCCCCTGGGAATATAGGGCCCTGGGAATAAAGGACCCTGGACACATAGGACCCTGGGAATATAGGATTCTGGGACCATAGGACCCTGGGAATATAGGGCCCTGGCATTATAGGACCCTGAATACACAGGCCCCTGTGAATACAGGAACTTGAAACCATAGGTACCTGGAAATATAGGGCCCTGGGAACATAACATAAGTATGACTCATATATGTTACTGCCTGTGTTATTTCACTTGATGACTTTGTTGAAACAACATGAGGCACAGCAGCCGTATAATGAATATGTGCTTCAATTGGCCAGTAAGAATGAAATAGAACCTGCAATCAAGACACAAATCACCGCCTGTGGGTACGACTCTGTTTCCACTGCAGATGTCTGTGTGAGAGTGTGAGTGTGTGAGAGTCCCGCAGGAGGGATATATGGCTTATGTGTGAGTGTGAGTGTAAACAGTGGTGGTCTTACCGCTGGCGGCGGTCTCATAGAGAGAGTTTTCCTTCATCTCCACGGCCGAGTGATCTCTCACAGGAGGATGAAGGACACTGCCCTGCCCGGCTAATCTGCTCTCAGCTTGGTTCAACTGAAACAGGCCAAGAAAAAACACAACAGCTTACGACCATTCCAGACTCTGGAATTCTGAAGGTCTGGACAGCCATCTAGAGTTTATACAAGGCATCTCTGTTATGAAGCTTCCCAATCTATATTTGGTGAGTCAGAGTGTAATCATGTAGCTGATGATTAACCGTTCTTCAATACAGTCTCTGTCTTCTGCATCTAAAGCATATGATCGATTGCTATGGACAATAAGTGCTATGTTTTTTGTGCTTAGTACAATAACTGAAAATCTTAAATACAAGCTGATAGACATCAGTACCTTTTTTCTTTTTCTAAATATCTACAGCTGGTCAGAACACAATCTGAGTGGACCTGTTTACTGGCTAATTCTGATTTGATGTCATTTAAATGGCAGTTTGTAGTAAATTGTAGAGGTGTAACAACACAGCTTAACATATTGTACTGTAAAGTATCATCAAACTGTATCAAAACCCACTGTCTCTGCTGTGGGTTTCCCAGAGAACAAAACACCATCTAAGGAAAATTCTCAGCATTTTCTGTACGATTGTTCCAATGGTTCCAATGGCTCAGATGATTCACACAATTACACCTCATGGTTTCCGACAGGCAGAAAACATTTCTTTTTCATGTTTTAGTATGTAAAGCATGTGGACTTTTCTTAAATTATTTGGTCACTTATTTACTCAAGCATGTATAGCAGTCTGATCAACAATCATAGTATAGTAAAGCAACAATCTGTTTTGGCCTTAATTAGAGATTTAAACTGTAATTGACAGATATATAATAATTGAAATCCGGCGGCTCTTTCGCAACTAAACTACGTACCTTTTCAACAACCATCCCCCATCATTACAAAAAGTGGAGAGAGACTGTCACCCCCTGCCCCCCGTTTGACTCATGACTGCCTGTATAATGTGCTGTGTGCTGTGAGTGGACTTACTGGGAAAGCCAGCTTGCACAGCTCCGTGATCCAGCTTTGGACGTCTGGCTCGTTCGCAGCAAACGTGTACAGTTTGTTGGTGGTTTCCAGCTGGAAGGTGCTACAGTTTTTCGGACACTCCCCGCTCTTGCTCTCTGTGATCTGAATGCAGTCCCGCAGCAGGATCACCTTTTTAGTCTCGGTCTTCTTCCCACCATGGTCTTCCTTCACCGACACCTGCCTGAACTCGTAGAGCACCAGCCGGGCCACGCTGTTCATGCTGTCAGCCAGCAGCACACACCACACCTTCTTCCACTTCTGCATACAGAACAGGGGGAGAACAGAGAAATCGAAAACTTCCATAATCATATCAGTGCTCCTGCAAGTCCTTACACACTAAAATAGACCTGAAAATGTAACCCTTAAATTTACTAACATCTTTTATCCATGGGGTCAGTTTGACCCCAGCAATTTAAACCTCTGGGAAATATCAAAGTTCAGGTTGGATTTATGTCCACATGTGGTGTGAACTATCAGTGGTTCAGTGGTGTTAGGTTAGGTTATGTTCATTACAGGTGTGCTTTTAGGTGAGGTGTGTTACACGTGTGGTTATGTTAGGATAGGTATGTTACAGGTGTGGTTATGCTAGGTGAGGTGTTTTACAGGTGTGGCTATGTTAGGATAGGTGTGTTACAGGTGTGGTGATGTTAGGATAGGTATGTTACAGGTGTGGCTATGTTAAGTTAGGTATGTTACAGGTGTGGTTATGTTAGGATAGTTGTGTTAGAGGTGTGGTTATGTTAGGTTAGGTGTGTAACAAGCATGGATATCTTAGATTAGATATGTTACAGGTGCGGTTGTGTTAGGTTACATATGTTACAGGTGTGGTTATTTTAGGTTAGGTGTGTTACAGGTGTGATTATGTAAGGTTAGGTGTGTTACAAGTGTAGTTATGTTAGGTTAGGTGTGTAACAGGCGTGGATATGTTAGCTTAGATATGTTACAGATGTGGTTATGTTAGGTGTTAGGTTAGGTGTGTTACAGGTGTGGTTATGTTAGGTTAGTTATGTTACAGGTGTGGCTCTGTTAGGATAGGCGTGTTACAGGTGTGGTTAGGTTAGGTGTGTAACATACATGTCTTTGGGGTCAAAAGCAACTTACAATTTGATCATGTACAGGTAGGCCAAGGACTCTTATTGGTATAGTGTAGGGTGCTTACCCAGGCAGGTAACACTGATGATGTGTACAGGATATTGAAAACATATCATTATGTTCATTTATTATCTAGTTGTCCTCATTAAAGTAGGAAAGGTCATTCAATATGAAGCAAAGAAATAAATAATATCAATCATTTATTTAGAGAAGTTAAACGTTGCATGGGGTCAAAGTGTCACCAAGGAGGGTTAAGGCCACAAAATGTCTGAAAAGGTCTTATTTTTTGCATCAAGGTTTTAAATTTAGGGATGTCCAGGCACATTTTAATGGATCAGGTGTAAAGAAGCCCAATCCAGGTTCAAACTGTTTTGTTTATTCTGCTGTTTTGTTAATTGTTGGGACAAAACCTTGTATCTCCATTTTTGTTATTTTTCAGTTTTTGACATATTTTGAAAATACTTGTTGCCCTTTACATTGTGTGTAAATGTCATGATGAATGGATCAAAAAGGTCTGGTTCCATTGACTTACATTAAAAGTACTGAAGGTTTTTTCCTTCTCCTGTAAAGCTCTCATTTTGGAGATATGAGGTTTTGTGCAGACAACAGTAATATGTTGTCCATAACCTGCAGGGATGAGCTGCTTTAGGGTGGAAATGGATAGATTGTGAACTATGTGAGACATTCAGGATGGTCAGCCAACCAAAACTACCCAGTCCTGTGGGCAGCAGTCCTATGATCACAAACTGACCACTGACAACTGCAAAACTGATAAAAAGTCAAACATCCTGAGAAGACCTTGTATGGATCATGCAATCTCAAAGCATATAGATGTTCTTCTTTAACCAATGGTTTGAATAAAATAGAAATGAATATATGCCATATTTGAGTTTGTATGTGTTGTTATGTGGTGGAAATGGTGTTTTGGCTATGCTGAGGTCTCAAAAAGATAAAAAGGCCACAGTGCTCTCTAAATCTGGGTCAAACTACAGCTTCATATGACCCATCACATATATACAGCTTGTCCCCAAATCCGACCCACAAATATATTTTTTTTTTCTGTGGCTAAATATTTCCATCTGACGGGTAGATTAATTGAGAACACAGCGGGAGATACAGCGTGTCAGGATTAAAGGATGAATAGAATTATTAAACCAATCCACTAAGAAACACAGATTTAATCACTCCACTTTGCCACTTTACTTGCATTAGCAATGCTTTCAAAATAAGAGTACTACTGTCAAATATAAGATTACAATAAATAATAATAATAATAATAATAATAATAATCATTTAAAATAGTAATATAATTCATTAAACACTATGCGTTATGTATTTGTCTACTATTACTATTATCAGTATTAAAAGTAGTTGCTGTGATTTGTAATGACGAAAGAATTGCTGATAAACATTAACTACGAAGTTATGCAGCTAAAATTCAGACTTAGGACACTTTTTTCCCTGCAACTGTTGGAGAAGACCACCTGGCTAATATATCTTGAAAGTAGAAGGTCCTTTTAAAAAACCAAAAGTGCTCCAGGGTAGTTTTTTGGGGCTGTTTTGCTTTATTGCTTTGTTTTTTTATGTTAGCGGGCGAATGCAGAAATGACTTGCCACAAGAAGAGGACAACAAGCTAAACGCTAAAGTTAGCAAAGTGCCTGGTTATCCAGACACATTGCTTCTTTTCTCCAAGTGAAGGGATAAAAACACTCCAGTATCCATTAAGTGCTGAATGATCGCTGATGTCTTTACGATTTTGTACAAAGACAGAGGTAAGCTTTTTATTAGCCTACAGATAGCATTCGCAAAACCTGAAAGAAGCGTCCTGCGGCCTTATTGTTGACAAGTTATGTGTTTGAGCGGTCAGTGCTGGCTATGGCTTCCAAATCAAGCTAGCAAGAAACGGTCAGAAACAGATGACAAAATGTATTGTGTTAATGAAGAATCACTGAGATCTGAGTTATTTCTTCTAAACCAGCAGTCAGCAACATGCGACTCTTTCACTGCCCTGTTGCTGCTCCACAGCAGAATTAGATTTTTAGGTATTTTACTCCTTTGCAGTAAAATAAAGCTCTGCTGATCGTTCTAACACAGTTTTAACAATAAATGGTCTTAAACGCTGGAGTTAATGTAGAACTGCTAATTCACCCTTTAACCCTGAAGGTTGGCGTGCAGACTGCTGGTCACCATAGCAACGTGGTAGTCTAGCTAGTAGCTAACGAGAAGGCATAGAGAGAGATTTAAGACGAACATCAATAATTTGGAGACAACTGGACTTATTTGCATTTATAATCACTCCAGCTGGTTTCCTGATACGTTTAATCAGCAACAAGAAACTGTCAAACACTAAAAAGTTTCTAAGCTGAAGTCTCATTCGCAGCTTCTTGTTTGAATTTTCCCATTCCACCTTAAATGTGCAGCAGTTATATCCTGGCGCCTTAGGCATCGTTTAAGGTGGAACGGGAAAATTAGAACAAGAAGCTGGCGAATGAGGAGCTGAATTCAGCCTCGTAAAAAGTCAAACAGTGAGAGACATTTTTACAAGAAAAGCAGCTATAGCTGAGCTAAAGCTCAAAGCAGAGCAAAGTAAGTCTGTGTTTTTGTTTATATTATATTTTAGTCTGTACTAGTACATTAGCACACACTGAGACATATTTACAGCCAAGATGGTAAAAATATTACTCAATAAAATGGACATTAAATGTTAATTTTTGTTGAAAGGACAAAATAGCTGTTCTTAACATTTGGGTTGTGACCCCTGACCTAAACCCTCCTCAGAAGAAAAGAGGAGATTAACATCAGCGTTTTACTGTGAGAAGTTCTGGTGATGAATGAGAAAAGTATTTCTAGTAGTTCTTCTTCTACACTGATGGAGTGCTGAGAGAGTTCTGTGATCTAGAACAGAGCTGTATAAAAAAAACAATGAGATCTTACATGTTTCTTATGGAAATATTACTCAGCTCAGACTGGGCTGAGTCGAGACAGACAATAAAGAGTTAATCAGTATGTGTGATGATATTTTGATCAAAGTGAGAAAATCTGAGGTTTATTTATTTCTCAGCAGCCGAATTTCAGAAACAGGAGAAAATGGCTTAAATCTAAGTACAGGAGACTAAGAGAAGATCTAATTCAAAGCATTTCCTTCCTCTGGGTTTGATCAGTAGTGTTGATCGGCACCAAACTGATAAGTTATCTTTGAGTCACAATTATGCATTATTGCCCACAGTAACATATCCAGACATCTATAATAACCTTAAATACAGGAGGTAACAGGAGGTAAAAGCAAACAAATCACTAGAGTCATGATTATTCACTTGAAGGGTCAGCAATGTTCTACCATCAACTACACCTTCAAACACCATCATGATCACAAAACTGAGTAGCTGCGTATCTGTGTTTGATGGAGTTGTTCAATGTTAGCTTGAAGATAGCTTATGTTAACTGCATTCACTGTCGAGCTAAAGCAAAAGTGATCTAGAGATAGTTAGACTGCGTACGTCAGTCATCAGTCAGTGTCAACACTCGAAAATGGTCAGACTCCAGAGTTCCTCCTTCTCCTGACTGTCTAGCTGGGTCAGACTGATGAGAACAGACTTTTATAGTGTTATGAAGAGATGCTGAAAGTTTATCTCAGGGGTCGCAACCCAAATGTTAAGAAGAGCCATTTTGTCCTTTCAACAAAAATCGAACCAACTTGGGAGCCGCAACGTTTCATGTCCTTTTTATGAAGCAACGTTTTACCATCTTGGCTGTAAATATGTCTCAGTAAAAAAAGAAAAGTAACAAAAACGCAGACTTACTTTGCTCTGCTTTGAGCTTAAGCTCAGCTGTAGCTGCTTTTCTCGCATCTCCAGCAGGAAACATTGCCTCAAAAGTAGAATAGTTTCTTGTAAAAAACTCTCTATGATTGATTTTTTAGCTTAAGTCTTCTCATTCTCCAGCTTCTTGTTCTAATTGTCCGGTTCCACCTTAAATCATGCCTGAGGCACTAGAATGTAACTGCTGCACCATTTAAGGTGAAACAGGAAAATTCGAACAAAAAGCTGACAAATAAGAAGTTGACTTAAGCATCACGACTTTTTAGTATTTCTCTGTTTCTTGTTGCAGATTAAACGCATCAGGAAACCAGCTGGAGTGATTATAAATGAAAATAAGTCCATTCGTC